CCGGCGCCTCCCGTGCACCGGGGGTGGGGCCAGCCCAGGTTGTTGGCGGGCGCCCACGAATGCCCCGGCGGGCGCCGCGTTGGGGACCACTGCCTTAGAGACTAACAAAAATATATAAATAGCATCATGAGTTTTCTCCTGGGCACAACCCACTTTTTATGCTGTTGTAATCAAGAACAGAATTTGGCCCAGAGTACACTCTTAGCCCAGACACAGTGTGCCATGGACATGCAAAATTTTCTGAAGTGGTTGCAGGCTGACCCGGAAGAGGCGGGACCTCAGGCAGAAGGGGTGTGGCATTTAAATAGCAGGCATTGAAACGCCTCCTGCCTCCCCTGCAGCACATTAGCAGGGGGGAGCTGTAAGCCCTTTCAACTCCTGTTATTTCGAGGGCTCCCAGCTCCGAGCCTCGCTGCTAATGGGTTGCTGCGAGAGCCCTTTCAACTCTAAGGCATGTAACTGTGTAACCATTATGATTTTTAGCGGTTACATGGTTACATTTTCAAACACATTTTTACAACCCTAATTCTCACACAGAGAGACTATTTCTTTTTCTGTCTGTAAATCTAAGCCCATTCTTATCCTTGCAATTATTTATTAGTTCTAAAGGTCGCAGAAGCCCCTTGGTTTTGCTTTGCAAAAAACCCAGGAAGGCATTCCCTAGAAAAGGGTACAGTCTATTCCATAAACTTCTGTTTGGTCCTGTTGCAAGTCTTTCAGTGGAAAGAAACCTGGAATGAAATGACTCACTGCTGGAGAATTCCATACAGGTTTTTTCCAGCAGGGACTATCAGAGAATGCCCAAGATTAGAAAATGTGTTACATTTCTGGCTATATTAAAAGCTACAGTCTAGAGGGCCAATTCTGTTGTAGTGTTAGACATTTATCATGAGCAGCAGCATCACTTGCACAATTTGTGCATGCAAAAACCAGGTGACAAGGCATGTTCAAATGGATTCAGAGCACACACACACACACACACACACACACAATCACATATGCAAGTCATTTATGCAAGTAAACGTGTATTTATGCAAATGGAATCCTGGCAGAAACCCCTTCAATGGCATGACCCTAAACGTGAGAGTTTCTATTTGTTGGTCTGATCTCACTCTGCAAAGGAAAAAGGAAATGTGTTTTTCATTTGTACTTTAATTAGGGCCCCCTAACGACTCTTTTATACATGAGCAGGCAGGCTGCGGGTTTCTTTGCTTTCCATTTCAAGCCAATGGGATGTGAATCAGACAGTCTAGTAGAGTTGGTGGTTGTTTTTCTTCTTGCAGAAAGTTTCCATGAAAACAAAAAAGGTTTGTCAACTTTTTCTTCACAAGTTTTTGGGGTTCTGTCAAACAACTGGACATGCCCAAAGTTCTCCAAGAGAATCCTGAAAATTTTCATTGAAATTGGTTACTTCCCACAGATTTTTTTTTTAACTAAACACACAATTTTTCACCAAAATAAAGTTCTGAATTAAACATTTTGACCAGCTCTGCTTCACAAGCAAAGCAGATTTTGCCTTAAGCCAGGAGAGGGCAAGAGTCTCTCGGCAGACCAGATTCGGCCCACCTAGCTCTTTTATCTGGCCCACATGGCAGTTCTTGGCCCCGTCCCTAATGTGTTGCCTGGGAGCCAGGACGCACAAGCCCTTTCAACAGCTTCTATTTAAAGGGCTTGCATGACCCCGCAGCTGCCAGGCAACAGCCATAGGAAGGCACAAGCTCTTCAAATAGAAGCAGTTGAAAGGGCTCTCGCGTCCCAGCTCCCAGGCAATGGACTAGCAGTGAGGCCGGGAGCAGAGAGCCCTAGAAATAGCAGGAGTTGAAAGGGCTCACAGCTCCGCCCCTTCCTCCGCTAACGTGATACAGGGGAGCCATTTCAACTCCTGCTATTTAAATGCCCCACCCCTTCTGCCCAAGGCCCCGCCTCTTCCAGGGTGGCCCACGACAACCTCCAAAAATTTTCAAGTGGCCCCTCTTCAAAACTTTTTGCCCTCCCCGCCTTAAGCACAGAGTACGAGCGCCCGGGTGACTGTAGGAACAACCCCCATGGGCTGACCTTCTCTTTAACAGGGGGACCAGACGTGAAGGAAACTCATAGTCTGCCCCTTCTGAGCTTTTGATGGGGACCTCGCAAAGCATGGTATGTGATGCTAAGTAAGTAATGCCCTGGTATGCGTTAATTGAGGATAAGATGGACAGGGTTAAGGGTATGATTTAGTCAAGGGTATTTTGCTTAGAAGTCACGGACAGGTCACGGGTAATAAAAAATCATGGCACATGATCTGCTTATGACTTATACTATAAATAATCCTAAATCTAAGGGGGGCATGCCCCACAGAACCTGCTGCTGTGGGGGTCAGCAGATCCAGCGGTTCCAGCTGCTGGGAGCCACCGAGTACCAGCTGCTCTGACCACCCCAGGACTGCGGTCAGGTGTCTCCAAGCAATGGCTGCTCTGACCATCCCCCATGACGGACTGCTGCTTGGGTGGTCCCCAGGGCCAGCTGCAGCTGCCCCAGTTTGGGTGGTCTCTGGGTCCTGCGACCCACTGCTGCTCGAGTAGTGGTCAGTGTAGTTGTCCCCTGGGCCACCCGAGCTGGCAGTGGAGCTGCTCCACAAGTGGCCAGTGTGTAACTGGCCTCGGAGCCAGCTACTTGGGCAGCCCGGGGACTGAAGTCACAAAGACTATGGAAAGTCACTGGAATCTGTGACTTCTGCAACCTCTGTGATAAACACAGACCCTAATTAGGGTACACTCACTGCTTAATTTGTACCAGGGCTCAACCACCTCCCTGCTTGGCAGTTCATAGCCCTGGCCTCTCTGTGGCTCGCTGCATCCGTTAGGAAAGTAAAAAAGTTGCTTGATCCCCGGCACCTCTTGCATTACAAATTAAGTTCTGGGTCCTTTCTTTGGGCCTTAAAACGCATGAGTCCACACACTGATGGCGGATGATGGTAGCGCTGACGCTTGCACTGGGTTGCAGTGTCGGCCACAGAAACACACACTGGGAAGCGTATGAAAACGGCTACCTGAACATGCCTGGGAGCTGGGAAGCTCCCTCGAAAGGGAATTCAGCGCTGGCCCATGGGGCACACTTACTCGCTGAACTAGCGCACCACAAGGGGTGGAAGGACAAGCCTCCTTACCTCTTCTGCTGTCGGGGCACAGGTTCAAGTCAGCCCAGATTCAGCAGTGACCTCCAATCCACCCCATCCGGCACCTCCTCAATGGGGCACATGAAACTAATTTAAAGGCTGCAGCCTAGTTCCTAGTGAGAAGGGCAGCGTGAAGGCAGTAGATGGGACTTAGTGACCTCTTGAGGTTCCTTCCCGTTCTAGTATTCTATGATCCTATGAGGTGCTCACATTGCATCGTCGGGGTATTAACTGGCAGCCTCAGCTACTGCATTACATACAAACAGTGTTTGCTGACACCCTCAGCAGCAACCCTTGGGGTGTGGTGAATCACTCCTACAGCTGCCCCCTCAGACCAGGCGCATTGGTGGAGAAGGCTGCTGACTGTGCTGCCCATCCTGTAGGTAACCAGAGCATTTAATTCTCCAAAGCTGTCTGTCAGTTAAGTTATGGGTTCTGTGAACCCTCCCTCATCTGAGGGGGTGGACTGTTTGGTTTGGGGCTCCACCCTCCACCAGCCTGTGCTTACGTTGCTTTGAGAGAGCAAAGTTAGCTACCGCTCCCCTCTTCTGGTGTCTAGACACAGTTCAGTTAGAATCTTATCACGGAGCCGCTACTAAGGACACTAATGGTGCACTAAGCAGGCCAGAAAACACCAGGAAGGACTGCCCTCCCTCCCATTGCTATGTTCTGTCCTCACATTAGAGGATTAGGAATAAACCACTCTCTAGAAGTCTGAACCTGGGACCCTGCCAGAGTGTAAACACAAACAGCTTAGTACCTCATTGTTCGCATAGTGCAAATCCATCATCTGCCCAAAAGCATCCATGACCTTCTGTAGCACTTCTTTGAATTTGATTGGCCTTGGAAACTGGAGAATCCTGTGCATACATACAGAAAAATCAACAGCACAAGTGTCACGTGGGTAGTTGGATTAAACGGTCACCTTTCTGAAGCAAGGACTTGTATTCTTATGCTGTCATGCTAATTAGCTACTTCCCCTCCTCCCCTGCCTCCGAACAGCTATAGATGGCTGGGGAGCACAGATCCTGCTCTTTGCTAATGTGGTTGTAGCTATCTGTGCTACCCAAGGAACTTTCTACCCCAAGGAAGCCAGGCCGACCCTACCAAGATCCTTCTGAGGCTCTGAGCTGCAGCCTAGTCCCTCTCTATGGTGTATAGGTCCTCCACAAGGCAGGATCCAGCCCAGCAGCACACCACTGCCTACATTTAGCAGAGGTGCCACTCCGGCCAGTTTTCTTTGTGGTCTGTCACCTCCGTGGCGAGGGTGAGCAGTACTGAACTGCAGTAGATGGTCGGATGTTATACCGTGAGTCCTAGGCCATTCCACCTTCGGATGCAAATGCCCACTGACTTCAGATAGTCCTACCCTCGGAGATGCACTATGGTGTATTCGCTAATCCTCTTGGTTCATAATGCACTAGTTATCTGGCACCTCAGCCTGAGAGATCCTGACTCTCCCAAGTCTCCTGCTCTGCCGTTGTCACCGGGCCCGCCCACAGGCTGGGAGCCTTCCACATCGTCGTCAGGCAGGGAGGGCAGGAAGTCTTCAAATCCCTGCTCTGTTATTGTGGGACCTGTGCCCAGAATCTGGCTCTCCCAAGCGAGTGTGACAGGCTGCTAATCGAAGGATACACTGATGCAGGGAGGCCTGAAGTCCAGTTATATTCACTGGAGCCTGAGATTAAAGCTACTGATGAGTGGCATTTAATGAATCACAGCTAGGAGCTAATCTGCCTGTGGACAAGTCCCAGGAAACACTTATGGCTAAATTCACAGGCCTCTCCCATGCCAAGCTCTCACGGCTTTCACAGGGAGTCACACTTTCAGGTGAGGGTGAGCAAGAGGCCCTTTGCCCCCTGGCACCAAGGGAAGCATGGGAATGGGTCAGGAACGCACCTTTTCTCTCCATCATATTCAAACTTGATCCTGGCATTCCGCTGCTGAAAGAGAGGAAATCAGTTAGACACACGGGATCTTGAGAGCTAATTGAAATAGAGGTGATCAAAGTCCACTGCAAGCCACCATTGCCTTCGGGGTGTAAAAATCAATACAAGGCAAGTACATCAATGGGAGCTCTGTGCTCACCTCTGAAAACTGTACTTGGCCCACAATGTGATAAACTTCTGCGTAAACAAACAGAACCTCCATTAACAGTTCATGACTCGCCTCCAAAGCTACTCCACTCATCAACTTGGTTTAACAAGGTACATTTATGGAAGGTGACATTTGCAGAAGCCCTTCAAAAACTTTGGCAATACACTCCCATTTTCAGAAGTGACTTAAGCCTGACAGAAAGTAAAGGGGACGCCAGATCTTCAGGCTTTTAAGTGCTTTGGAAAGTTTTACCCATAGTGTCCTTTTCAACAAAAGTTCTCAGAGCCCTTCATCTACTGAAATAAAGCCACCGGCAGGGTAAAGCACAGCAATGCATAAGGAATAAAGAATAAGGAATATGATACTAGCTTGTAACATCCATCCAGCCCTAGCTGATGGTGATAGCTTTGATGAGTTATGGCATAACCTACAGAATCCAATCCAAACCTCAGGCCCAATGCTCAGGGCATTGTACGCGCATGCACACACGCACACCCTTGTCTTCCACCTAGGATCCAGCTGAAAATCAAGGACCCATTAGGCTAGAAGTCAGAGAGGCGCCCCACCCTAATAAGTTTATAAGCAAGGCAGACAAAGGGCGGAGCCGAGCGAGTATTCCCCTTGCCCCACTGCTGCAGAAGCCAGGCAAACTGTCCTAACAGATTTCCTGGTCATCATTTGCTGCTCTGCTTCTATCCAGAGGTTTACTGCTGACTGACTGAGCAGGAGAAACCATGAAATCTGAAGTTACATCAGGCCAGATTCCCTAGGCTTGGTGGGAGGAACATGTGAATGCCGATTGGTCAGGCGCCCTGTGTAAACCCAAAGAGGGGCTTGGGAAGTCTGCACAACTGGACACTACCTGGCTCTAATGCAGGGCTCCATTTTCTTGCTGGACTCCTGGATCCTGCTTTCCTGACCTGTTCCTGATTCTTGCTTCTAGTCTCTGAACCTACTTCCAGCCAGTGGCTCTCTAACTCCGGCTCCAATCCCAACCCTCAAACTGATTGACTCCATTTCGGACCCTTGACCTGACTTAACTCCAACTCCTGTTGCAACTCCAACTCCTGTTCCAACTCCTGTTGCAATCACCACACCCAGCCATCTCTGACTTGGCCCCAACACACAGAGAATAAGTGACTTAGCCAACACTACCCAGGGAGTCTATACCAGAACAGGCAACTGACCCCAGATCAGGGGTGCCAGAATGGGGGGAGGGCATGGCCCCATCACTTTATCATCAGCCATAAGTGTGAGCAACAGGAAGCGAATGAGACTCAGGAGAAAAGGCAGCATAAGGAGGAGGGGCCACGGTTCCAGTGCTGGTGGGCCCCTACCCTCCCCACACTTTTAGGCATGTTCTGCTGCTCCTGCCCAGATGGCTGCAGCTCTGGTGCAGAGCACTACGCATATAGCCATCCTGCCCCTCTCACTCCACTGCACTTGGAAATACTGGGATTCAAAGGGGAGCCAATGAATCAGAGGAGTTCTAGTCCTAGCCTGTCCTCCCCTGATACACGTTCAACTAATGATTTTTTTTTCAATTAGCAACAAATGCATGCCCCACCTCCACTCGAGCACAGGCTGAGAGCGGGTGGAGCACCAATGAAGAATCAGTTGCATACTCCCGGCTTCTGAAAAGGATAACTCCTGAATGGGTGGGTGGCACCACTTCCTAAGCATGCTTCTTATCGCTCACTCTGCATTTCCAGAGCATGAAGGCACAGTTTCCACTCTCTCACCCTGCAGAAGGAAGGCAGAGCTAAAATGGGTTTGTCTCCAACCCAGAGCTAGCTGCTCAGGAGGGTTATTTTTAAAAGGCCAGTTCCTGAGAGGTCTCAAGTAACGCAACACACACGGAAATCCAGGAATATTGCTGAGCTGAGGCTGTACCCCTAAAAGCCATGTTTGCAGAGCTAGCGCACAGCACAGGGGCTGTGTCTAGACTACATGCCTCTGTCGGCAGAGGCATGTAGATTAGACAGATCAGCAAAGGCAAATGAAGCCGCGATTTAAATGATCGCGGCTTCATTTACATTTACATGGCTGCTGCGCTGAGCCGACAAACAGCTGATCAGCTGTTTGTCGGCTCAGCGCAGCAGCCATGTAAATGTAAATGAAGCCGCGATCATTTAAATCGCGGCTTCATTTGCCTTTGCTGATCTGTCTAATCTACATGCCTCTGCCGACAGAGGCATGTAGTCTAGACACAGCCCCTGTGCTGTGCGCTAGCTCTGCAAACATGGCTTTTAGGGGTACAGCCTCAGCTCAGCAATATTCCTGGATTTCCGTGTGTGTTGCGTTACTTGAGACCTCTCAGGAACTGGCCTTTTAAAAATAACCCTCCTGAGCAGTGTTTGTCGGCTCAGCGCGGCAGCCATGTAAATGTAAATGAAGCCGCGATCATTTAAATCGCGGCTTCATTTACCTTTGCTGAACAAACAAATCTAGATGCCTCTGCCGACAGAGGCATGTAGTTTAGACGTACCCAGGGAGAGGTGACCCAGTTTAGAATCATCAAGAACACCCGCTACCAATATGTGAAGCTTCAGGAAAAGAGGGGATTGTTTATTTCCAGTTTGGAACCTCAAAAGCTAAAATATCCCCAAAAGGCCTCTTCTCCCAGTAAGTGAACAGCCAGTACTAGAAGGAAAAGCACCAAGAATGCATTGAGCAGTGAGTTCCCATGAGAATTCCAGGTGTGTGATACTTACATTTCACCCATCACTGTCTCTCTCAAGCCAGCTTCTGCAACACTAAGAGTGTGGCCTGTATCGAAAGCACCCAAATGAGAGACAGCTCTAAATGGGGAACAAATGGGTTTCAAACATCCCAACATTCAGAGGATGGAGGTAAAACTGTTTCGGGTTCAAGAGTTTGGGTTCAGAGCCTTTCTAGAGGCAGCAGCCAACTGCAAAATATGGACCAGAGCTTGGATTATGCAGCCCTCTGCCGGCTGGGCCAGGGCCCTTCCCAATAGGTAAACACCAATGTACAGGGCTTAGCTGAGTCACTTCTCTCTCACAGCAGGATTCACTCCCTGGAAATCAGTGGAGTCACACCAGTGATGGGCAACCTAGGCTAGTGAGTGGGCCGCATGAGGGGCCCTCCATCTCAGTGGGCCACAAGATTCTTAAGACCAAGATGGCCTCCTGGGATAGGGCAGTTTTGGTCACTGGGCTTATGCATATAGAATTTGCTGACTGAACCAGAGCGGTGCTTTGATTGGATGCAGAGGGATCACACGGCACTCGCTGTCAATATGGTGCATCATCAGCATGCGCCTCAGTTCACATGCCCTTGCTTTAGGTGCGTGTCACTTCAGTAATACAGGCAGGGGGAAAAAAAACTACACAGACAAAAACCAGAAGAGTCTGGCAACCTTGCACAAGGGCAACAGTTAACAAAACGTCTTAAGAGCCACACAGAACCCCAATCTGCCGCATGTGGCTCTCGGGCCATAAGTTGCCCACCTCTGAGCTACGCTCTATGTGAGAAGCAAATCAGGGTCAGAAGCTTCACCCTACTTGTGCAGTGGTAGACACGAGAGTAAAGCCCATGCAATTTCTGCCCCACTTCAGCAAACACATGCTCGAATGCTGTGTTGATTTGGAGCCTAAAACAGATTTATGCTGAGCAAAACAGTTTCTCAGACCAAAACAGTTTCTCAGACCAATAAGTTAAAAAACAGCTCGCTGCTGGAAAATGTCAAACACACACTTGTAAAAGCACGGCGAGAGAGAGAAACACACACCCTGGCTGCATCTTTTTCTTCCACATTAACAACAACAACAAGGCCGATCTTCCGCAGACAGCAGCCAACAATAACACACCACATAAATTGTGCTCTACTTGTGAAGAGAGAAACATAAACAAGCAGAGTACATTGGAGAAAAACACTTTGAATGTGAAGCTACATCTATAAAAACCCCCACTAAAAACATAAAATAATGGGCCACAGGGGGGTAGCCCTATTAGTCTTTAACTTAAAAACAACAAGTAGTCCTGTGGCACTTTAGAAACTAATGAAATATACGTATAGTACCATGAGCTTTTGTGGGCAAAACCATTACACGGTTACATTTTTAAACAACTTTTTACAACTCTGGCAATTACAACAGCACCATTCATACCAGGATCTCAATGCACTCTGCAAATATTCAGAGCTAGATCACGAGTCTTTTGCATGTAGCTGAGAAGCTATACAAGAACCCTATCACTCTCCTATGACGCTGCACTACCGTGTTCACCTCTGCCATGCGACACTGCCTCCTTTGGAAAGTTGAGATTTCCTAATGAATTGAGCGACATGTGTCAGGTATCCCATGTCACTTGACTCTCTTCCATTCAACCTGAGGTATTGGGCAGTGCAGAAGAAAAGATGAAGTGACAGAAAAGCAAATGCTACATTTAGGAAAACAAGGGGCAACGATACTGGGACTTTCTAACTAATAATACTTGGATCTCAAGTGTTTCCTCCCCAGAGTTCAAAGGACTTTAATGGGCAGGTATTAGAGTTGAACAAAATTTCATTTTTTTTCCTATCAAATAATTCCTTTGACCAAAATACCCCTCAACTATTTACAACAATACTCCTTTTTTCAGCCAATATTATTAGTATTATGTTCTCAAAATGTTAACAATAGGGAAACTGAGGCACATGGCAAATGACTGGCCTAAGGTCACACAGCAGGTCAGTGGCACAAAATGCAGATCACCTTATCTTTTCTTTCACACTCTAAGCTGTTGTGGTAGCAGACAGTTGACTTTAATCTAAGCCCTGTAATGATCACTCTCATATGTCTAATATCTTCTTGTAGCACAAACATTTGTAGAGAGGCTTTGT